TTATTATTATTATTATTATTATTATATATTGTGTCACTTTTATTAATTCGAAATCATATTATCATCGGATGTTTGTCAGTTTTCTAAGTTTTGATTTAACCAATTTATTTATATATGTTTACTATCATTATTTGTCCCAGTATTTCCTTTTCAACAATGGGTGTGTAGCTCATATGGTAGAGCGCTCGCTTCGCATGCGAGAGGCACGGGGTTTGATTCCCCGCACCTCCAATAATAATTAGAAACAATCAGTCTTGAAAAAGAATAGTTAACTTGTGAATTATTTTTATAAATTAAAACTGGATATCAAAATTTTATGATGTTATTACTTATTATTACACATGGACCTTCAATAACTTATATTATTAGGTGTTAGTACCAGGCACTTAACTGTCGAAATTTTGCTGTTTCATATTTTTTGATGAAATCACAAATGATGTCCGTACCTTTCTCGTGACGGAGGGTTTAACTGACTTTTTTGTTGTTTTTTTTTGTTGTAGACTTCGCAGTGCCTGGTGTTGGAGTCAAAACCTACAGTTTGATCGTGATGCCAACCAAGTGAATGTAATATCAATCAAATTGTAAGCGCAATTAGTCTTACAAAAATTTACCTGTGGAGAAGAACCATAATTCAAGTCATCAATATATTCAAATTCGGATTTTGATCGGCGAGTTGATTTATCCCGAACGACTTTCTTTCCCGGACGACCTCTAGTAATAACCTTTTCTTTTGGTTCCTTAAGAGAAGTTGTCCCGGGGCTATAAACTTCTCGCATCTGACGAAGCATTTGACGTCTTTCTGTTGAATTCTTCGTCAAAAATACTTTATGAAATGATGCTAAATCATCAGTATCATCCACATACTCTTCTTCGTTTGCACCTTCACGTGGCTCCATACTCAATTGTTTCCAATGTCTGTCGATGCATTGAAGTGGAATGGGAATGCACTTCATATTAATCTCGTGGATGTCATGTGCACACGGTAATCCGCGAGTTGTTTGGAGATTGCAACTGCAAGGAACTTCAACTTGAGCGGACAACTCACGTGATTTGTCCACCTCAATTTTGATCAACTCAAGGGCGTGCATCGACACAAAACCTAAAAGTTCACTGTAAAGCCCTATCTTGAAGCCGTGTTGGTATGTATTTCTGCTAATCTCAAAGGAAGCCTTGATTTTAATTTGTTGCAACATCAAGACGTTGTCAATATGGTTGAACAAAGTAACGAAGTTCCCCAATGAATTCATCATATTTTTCTTAATCTTTGAATGTGCACACTCCACCCTATCATATATTACAAGATGTGTAAATATATTATGAGTTATTATATAATAAAAACGTGTATGTCAAGTCATATGATAAAAATATTACCTGTTAGAAGTTATGTTCCGAGGTGCATACATTTGTCTGTCCATGCCGATACATTCCTCTGTTTGTACGGGTCCAACCACGAGTCAGCTACGTAAGATAGAGCCTTCGGAAAATCAACGAAGTTTCGTTTCATTAAATCCCATTCCACATAAAACAACTCCTCCGATTCTTGCTCAACAAGATTTTCCCAACTTGTCTCAAACCGCTTCCATTTTTCTTTCTCCTTTTTGAACATTTTTTGACATTTAGCAAGAATATTCTTGCTAACATGCCACCTACATAGCAAATGATGACTGGTTGGATACACAAGAGCTATAGCTTTAATTAAAGCCAAATCTCGGTAAGTGACGATACAATTAGGACTATGACTCCCTCCCATCTTCTCCTCCAAGGTCCTCAATGCCCATTCGTAGTTATCTGCCTTCTCAAATTGCAAGTATGCAAAGGCAATGGAGAATGTTTTGTTCGTAGAAGTAACGCCCACCATCTCCAGTAATGGGAATCCGTATCGGTTAGTTTTGTACGTGCAATCCATAAGTAACACGTAGGGAAAGCTACGCCCTAAGGCCAAGCAAGTAGGGTTGCTCCAAAACAAATCAGTGACTTCACCATCTTCGTTCGATCTATGATCCTCAAGGTAATTATGTTCGGACAATTTCGTCATCAAAAGTTGCATTTGAGATCTACCGGCTTTCTCTAACGCTTGAAGCCTATGACGAGCATTGTAAATTGTCTTCATTTCAGCTACATTTGTCTCATCCCTGTTCTTCAATGTTGTAAGTATTGCCTTTGGTTGCACCAACGCATTTGACATTTCTTCTACAATTTTCATCTCTTCGCTTGTTAATCTTGCCGCATATGCGTGGCCCTCCAAATTTGGAAAACATGGGTGATTATGAACGCCAAAAAAAAATTCGAGCTTCCATCCAACATTGTCATCATCCATGCCCAATTTAGTGCCTTTTAATTTATAAAGGCAATTACATTTTTTTAACCTCGTACTTCTTTTTCGTTTTGCCGTTTCAAATTTACCAGGTACCTTAGTACCACGATACTCACCCGCACGCTCACACACAAGCACCATATAAGGTGTACTACGTCTATTGAGTCCAGGATTTGATGACATGATTGTAAAGACCATTCCGAGACGTCTACCCACTTCTCTCACCCATTTCAGCAATTCATCCCTTGTTGCAAATGTATCTTGGTTGATGAATTCACTAGAGTAGTCAATTGCTAATTCCTCATTTTGTTTAACCTTACAAAAAAAGAGGAAAAATAAATTAAATTTGAAACTGGTAAAATTCGACACCAAGGTGTCGAAGAATTACGCTACAAATCGACACTTAAGCGTCGAATTTTTGTAGCAGAAATCGACATTAACATGTCGAATTTATAGCACAAATTCGACATGTCCAAATGTCGAATTTGATACCTCAAAATCGACATCTAAATGTCGATTTTTACCCATAAAATTCGACCTGTACATGTTGAATTCGTTTGCGCGGGATTTGTTTTGGAAAAACGATATTTTAGCTAAAAAACCCATAAATGCATACCTGCTTGGGTTCTTCCACCGTAGAATCCTCTATTTTGATGTCTTCTAACTCCATACTTTCCATCTTTGTAAGATTTGTTGAATTTTGATGATTTTGAATGTTTAGGTTTTGTGGGTTTATGGAGGAGGAAGGAGAAAGGTCTTGTGGTTTTTGGAAGATGGAGAAGATGAAAGTTGGTCTTGTGGTTTTGTGGTCTTGTGATAGGGTTTTTTGTGTTTTTGAATTTTTTATTTTTTAACAAGTAAGGGTATTATAGTATTTATACATTGAAAAATTTAATTTGGTCTTGCACAAATGGTTTTAGTCTTGCATATAGCCGCAACCTTTAACTATTTATAAGTAATGTCTAATATCTTTTTAATTCAATTTTGTCATAAAAAATAATAAATTTAATTCCTAACACATGTAAGAACCTAATCGTAAATCGTAATATTTTATCAAAGCGTAATATTTGAACCAATTAAGGTCAAGTCCTTTCAATTCCTAAACATTATTCAAATATTTGAATCGATTAAGCGCGCTCAACTATTGACAAGAATGTCTTAATCAAATTAACTATTATTAATTAAATTGTAATACATTTTTAATTCAATTTATCATAAAAAACTAATTCCTAAATTACGTAAGAATCAAACCATAAGATTAATTAAAGCGTATGATTTGAATCAATTAAGCGCAAGTCCTTTTAATTTGTAAATATTATTCAAAATTTTGAATCGATTAAGTTCAACTACTGACAATAACGTATTAATTGAGTTAACTATTTATAATTATAGTCTACTATCCTTTTAATTCATTTTTAACAAAAAAATAATAATTTAATTTATAAAATCGTAAGAATCAAATTGTAAATCGTAAGATTGAATCTAACCATGAACCAATTAAATCTTACGATGTTTACGAATTAAATTTTATTATTTTTTATGATAAAATTAAATTAAAAAAGATACTAAACTTTAACTATACATAGTTTGATTAATACGCTATTGTAAAAAAATGAGTTTAATCGATTCAAATATTTGAATATTGTCTACGAATTGAAATGAGTTGAGCTTAATCGATCAAATCTTTGAATATTGTTTTTGAATTGAAAACACATGATTTAATTGATTCAAATATTACGATTTAATTAAATCTTACAATTTACGATTCAATTCAAACTTCAAATTCTTTCGAAATTCATTTTTAATGTACACGAGTTGATCAACATTTCCTTAAATTTTTAAATTATATTATATAAAGATTTGTTAGTATGGGATATTTTTAATATATAATAATAATTATATGAGAATTAATAATTTATTTAACATTATTTATATAAGTTTTATAATAATTATACATTGTAGATTTGTGATGTATATCGGTATTGTTAGTTTATTGTCAATTATTTGTTGTGTCTTAATGGTAATTATTCTTGTATGCTTTCAGATGGTCACAAGTTCAAATTCAGGTTGATGCAATTTTGGATGGGTGGTTTAATGATTTTTACCAATAATGATATAATTTACTTTATAAATTTTAATTCAGCAATAAATATAGATTTAAAATTGTATTAAAATATAGAGGGTAAAATTAAAATTTCATTAATAATTTAAAATTGACGATATCTGAAGGGGGTATCTCATATAAGTCGTGTTCTTGAGATCTCACGGTAGAAAAACCCATTTATTAAATGATACAGTTGTCCTTAAAATTCTATGTGTGAAAAATATTTTGTAGGGCAAATTTGTCCATACAAAAAGGAAGAAGCCACTTACTATTCTGATATGTTCCACGGATTTTAGGAACGAGAATTTGAGGAATTAAGAAAATAGGATAAGAAATTAGAGATAATCCGAAGATTAAAGAGAAGAATTGTTTCTGTATTAATTCATATCCCCTTCTACAGTTTTCTCACCCTAATAAATAGTGTTTACAATAACTGAATATGTAACTACCCACTAAGAATATGGAAGACACCACAATCACACGTGCAACTAAATTCCTAAATTCATGCAATTTATCTAAAACAAATAAGTTTTATTGAAATATTCCACTAACTAATATACTAAGTTATTATTTCACGTATCATTCCCGCCCGCTCGAATTATCCTTGTCCGCAGGGATATAACCTGGAAATGTGTAAGGGGTCGTTTTGATTGTTTGGTGGATCATAATTCTCGAATGGCACATCCTCGATCATATATAACTGAGGTCGTTGACAACGATGGTTCGGTGTGAATTTTTCGTCGCAATAGTAGCACAGGCCTTTCTGTCTCTGTTCACGGGCTTCTTGACCAGTTAACTTTGTGAAGGTAGGTGGCGAGATCTGGGGATTGTCAATTGTTGGCTGGTTGTTTGATGTGGTCGGTGGAGGGCCTAAGATTCCCGGTGTGAAATTGGTTTTGACTCTCGAGCTTGTCGGTGTAGTTTGGGAGCGAATGGGTTGTGGAAATTTTGGTTCCAGCATGTTTCTTTCCTCCACGAGTCTTGCAACGCCTATCGCATCTACTAGAGATTCCGGCTGTTTAATTTTCACGTCAAGGCGAATCTCATCGGAAATACCTGCAATAAAACAACCTATTAAAAAGTTTTCCGGAAGACCGTTCACTTGGTCGGACAATTTTTCGAAGGCCTCCTGATACACAACCACTGTTGTAGTTTGTTTGAGACGCGTGAGAGCTTCAGAAGGATTTTCATAATCGGTTGGACCAAAGCGGCTCAAAACAGCCTTGGAAAACTCGTCCCACGATAAGGGTCCTCGAAACTTTGTTAACCACCGGTGCCACTGCAAGGCAATCCCCTCAAGGTGAAAGGAAGCGAGTTGAACTTGTTGCGTTGCTAGAATATTTTGAAATTCAAAATACTGCTCCGCCTTATATATCCACCCCATGGGATCATCACCAGTAAACCTCGGAAATTGTAGCTTCAGATTTGTACTTTGAAGAAGAGTTGGAGATGCGCGTGTTGTAGCTACGGCTGGATTTTGCTTGCCTGTTTGTGAAGATTCTCCCACAGCAAAGGGGTTAATATTATTGTCGGGAGATTTAGGTTGGTTGGAAGAAGTCCTTAGAGCTTGAAGCTCAGTGAGGACAATTTGGAGAGTGTTGTGTAATTGGTCGAAATTTGACTCGTGTCGAGCCAGGATATCGAAAACCTCATTGCGAAACTCGGCATTAGATTTATTTCGAGTTTCCATGAAATCTAGCTCTGATACCACTGATATGTTCCACGGATTTTAGGAACGAGAATTTGAGGAATTAAGAAAATAGGATAAGAAATTAGAGATAATCCGAAGATTAAAGAGAAGAATTGTTTCTGTATTAATTCATATCCCCTTCTACGGTTTTCTCACCCTAATAAATAGTGTTTACAATAACTGAATATGTAACTACCCACTAAGAATATGGAAGACACCACAATCACACGTGCAACTAAATTCCTAAATTCATGCAATTTATCTAAAACAAATAAGTTTTATTGAAATATTCCACTAACTAATATACTAAGTTATTATTTCACGTATCATATTCATACTTTTATATTCTGTATAAATAATAAATAATAAAATATAATATAATAAGTAAATAAATTTAATTAAGTAGTTCAGTAAATCTAAAAAATGCCATCAATAAATATTTTTTTATTAAAAAAATGCTATCGTATTATTGGTAGGGATGACAATATTACCCGCTTCGATGGATATAATATAATGTATTTTTGGGAAGAGGGTCTCAAAAAAATTTAGGCAAAAAAAAAAAAATGAACCAAAAAAAATTGAACCTTTTTTGGTTGCATAATTAGGAGAAGAAAAAATTTAGGACTTTTTTTGTATATTATGAATTTCGGGTGGACTAAATAATATATATATATAATATAATGTATTTTTAGGGAGATGGGCTTAAAAAATTGAGGAAAAAAAATGAACCAAATTTTTTCACATCATACAGTAAGTCAAACTCATGACCTTTCCGAAATATTTGGGCATCTTTACCACTAAAGCAAACTTTTTTTTATTATTTAGGGTGGTCCATGGCATATATGGCCACCTATTAAATCGGCCCCTGTAGGTACGGTCAAGACATTGAAGTGCCCGAAATCATGTTGAAAGTCGCCGTCTTTTTGTTGATGTTGTTGTCGATGGATACAGGCGAAGCCGCGAGAATGTTGGCACCGGGGCGTGTAATGTCGGGTTTGAGAATTCCAGGGCTTACCAAATTGGGACCTTTAGAGGAGAACAGTGTAACCATTGGAGCAGTTTTGTCTCCTATAACAGTGCCTCCGAACAAGATAGCTGAAGTAGGCGTCGAAGAATTAGTGTCTTCTATGTATGCTTTGATCTTTAGTGCGGATGTAACACCCCGCATTTTCATAAGCATATGATAGAGATTTATTGAATAAATTATCGATATGCACATTTCTATACATACATTACCTTTCATGAATTAATTAGTAAATGCTATGCACCTTAATTGCTTATATGCATTATATGAGATTATGTTGAATAAATGATGAATATGCATTCATGGATTAATTAGTAATTTCAATGCATTCTAAGTGTTTATGTGATTTTATAAATTATGATATTTATGAATTAGGTTACTTGTTTGATTAAATGATTTTATAAGTTCGATTTCGTAATTAATCTATTCTTATGATTATGTGACGCTACTCCCATGAATTTGGTGAATTATAATATTTATAATAATTTCATGTTTGTGTTTATTAGATTCTATAATTCGATTTCTTTCGAATTAAATGATTAATTAAGTTAATATGATTAATGAATAATATGGTTTAGTTCATGAATTTTATTATGTGAATGAATATAAATGTTTTGCTATTGATAACATTAAGAAGATATTTTATATAATAATTAAATTCTTTTATGTAATTGTCTTTAATTATTTTAATTATATATGCATGTGTCTTATGAATATGCTTAGTATGTAGTTATGTGTATGTCGTGTGATGTGCATGAGTGTTCCAAATGTGTGTGTGTTTATGCTGCCATGTGTTTATATGTAGTAATAGATTAGTGTCTTTCATTAATTGCCATTAGCACCCCTGATTTTCCTAAATTG